TGTTATAACAACTGTTGTGTACAGAGTTATTAGTGACTACCATAAGAATAAATTTCATGGAGGAACCTGTAGTTATTATGAATCGTGAGCAACACCTTTCTTGAAAGAGTAGCAAAATCCGTGGTGTACGTGCTGTTCATTTGGAAAATGTTATGACTGAAAGCTGTTACTTTTAAACATTGATGCGTTCTCGTCCTTATTCTAAGTTTAATTCTGTACCTTAAATTATGTTTTACACTCTTATAGTTCCTGGTACTAATATTCTTGATTACAGTCATTTAAGACTATACTCAATAGCCTGATCAATTATGAAATGTGTATAACTGCTTCGAAAGCGAATTATTGCTTTTAATTGAAAAGTGAATCCTTTTGTTCTATCTATGTGTAGGATGTTCAATTATAATTCAGGATCCTTTTAGAGGGTAATTTCATATACCAAAGGTAATACATGTATTAAAGATGATCAAATTATAATAGACTTCATTTTCAAGTTATTAGGAATTAATATTGTTTAATGGTACAGTGACGTACCATATAAAAAACAGATGTTTATTTTAGTAGTAATCTAGATCAGTATGTAACAGTTTTTAGAAATGTTAGATATAAATATACATACACAAATTTCATGGTATACAGAATCAACTCTTCCAAGGTTGTACTTACATTGATAGTTAAATATCCTATATGAATATTTTCAGTCCGAGCTCCATAATACATTGTAAATTTACATAGTTTTCAGTAATATAGATAGACAGTATTATTATTTTTCATTTCACGCAATTACTTTACATTATTCGGTATAAATTATTGCTTTTGCGTGAAACAGGTGATCTATTACTGTGTAATACTAATTACTGTATCATAAACACACATGATTTAACAAGTTATTCTTGTATTTAACTGCAATTAATTTAACTCTAAAAATGTAAATTTGCATAATCGTCTGCAGTTTGCTTACGGTTAAACAATGCCAATATAGGATTTTAAACCATAATTGTCGTGATTAAAAGGCATCAATAATACACGGGAAGCCAGGCTGATAAAGATTGCTTAAAGAGTAGAATTAAGAAGATAAGAGTATAAGTTATCTGTATCTTAGTTACTTTTTTTCAAAACTGAGAGAACTCGATCTAAACAGTCTTTCGATGAAAGTTTATGAAAGGAATAAAAAAAATAACATGAAGATTAAGGAAGGTACAAAAGACAAAAAAAACGATTTTACAGAAAAGTGCTTTATGAATTATAACGCTGAACTAATGTTACCTCATCCTTTGTATTGTAATTATTTTCTCGTTCGCATATACATATTTTTAAGTAAATTTTTATATAAAATTATCGATAAAATCTTAATGAAAAAATTCACATATATTTTAAATTATTCTGGACATAGAATTTATAAAAAAAATTTATTTCATTCAAATTCTTTCACTGTAAAATCAATTTCTTTGTTATAATTAGACTGCGGATCCTTATGTAAAATTACATTTTTGTTTAAACAATTTGTAGAGACAAACCAAGTATAAATATTTTTCTTCTTTTAAAAATTTTATTTAATTTCATGGCAGTTTTTGCGAGTTTATAAATTTATTTATAATATACGTGTAAGAAATCCGCAATCCAGTTATAATATTACTGACCACCACATATTACATATGGCATTATATATTATTAAGAAAAACCTTAGATCGCTGACAAAATTGATAATAAATAAAAATATAAACAATTCACTTTTATATTCACCTACAGTAGTCGACACTATATGAGAACAATGGTACATATTTGACAATATCTTTTCTGTGGCTATGAATTTTTTCAATTTCATTTCCTGACGTGAAAAGAAGTATAGGTATTTTTACCATAAAAATGCTAAATATAGCTGTTCCCAGAAACACAAAATTTGATACAACTTGTAAAGACATTCCATGCATTTAAAATAAATTCAATAGTCTTTATTGTTGCTATACATATACGAGAGAAGCACTGTAACCACCGAAGACCATTACTTTCTCTACAAATGCAAGTAATTATAGGAGTTCATTTATTCTTGTTGTGAAAGTCCGAAATTTTTTCACAAAAAAGCTACACCGTGATCACAAAGCTGTTTCCAATGTAGGAGCACTGGGACTGCGAGCAACATTCTGAGATGCAATATTCTGAGGTGACTCAGACCTGGCTCGAAGTATTTGTCTGACATAAGTATTATGACCTGGGTTGGTCGAAGGTGCTCCAGCTAAGAACTGTGCCCTAGCTAATTGGTTGCTGAGTCTCCTCGATTCAAAAGCGCTTATTGCTTTTTGACACGAAGGCGTCAGCTGTGTACAGTTAAACGAATACTGAATTGCTGGATTTGTACTGTTCTGTTCGGGGTATGGATTTGAAACACATTGAACAGCCGATGAATTTTGAGTAGTAACAGTCTGTAGGTTATCAGCCAAATAACTATCACTCCCAGACAAGGTACAATCGTGTACAGTTGGCTCTTGTCTTTGAATATTTCGATTGTATGTTTCAACTTCCTTCGAAATGATTGTATCAGAATCGTTTACTTTATCCAGTAGTACTCCATCGCCACAAACATCGGAAATATTGTTTCTTGCGTTAGAGTTACATAAATTCTCCACAACTTCATTGCAGAGATCCAGCTGCCTTCTCGCATTCAGTCTTGATATTGGGGAAGTATTTTCTGGGGATGGCTTCATTGCCTTCTCTTCAGCCGCAGTGTCTTCAATTATCGTTGATGACAGAACATCTGTTCGCGGTGTCTGGAACCTCCATACCGACCTAGGACTCAAAACTTTGGCCAGAGGAGTTGTTGGTGGAAGCATTGGGGAGGACTGTTGTTGTTGAGACTGTTGACGAGATAATTTCAACTGTTCTGCTGCAGACAGTCTTGTAGGGCCAGTTTTAACACTCTGTTGAAGCAGCAAACGTTTGAAATCCAATCTAGACGTTGCTGGTGACGACGTCTGAGCGTTCTGAGGTACCTACAAACAAAGGAAACAATATTGCTCAGTTAAACAAATAAATATATTCAGTCAGAAAAAGGTATCATGGTATCTTTTTGATGCTATATGCTTTTTCCAAGTGACACATTACACGCCAAACACAACATTCTGTGGATGTATTTCCGAGTGTTTGATGAAACTGACACCTGATATAATCAATGTGAAATTACAAGTATTTACAGTAGCAATTTATTCAAGTAAACCAATTCTTTATGAAAGAAATTAAAAAAGCGTTTCTCATAGTATTCGTGTTTATAATAGTGAAACTTAACTTTCTCGATTTGTTTTTATGAAAGTGGACAAAATTCAAATTTCAACATTTTATATTTAAAAACCTAATTAAAAATGAAGCCTCTGTAAAATGAGCAAATAAACTAAAACCCTCTTTTAATTGCACGTGTATTGTATTAGATTTCAGTTCTAATGGAAATTCTAACACACGTCAAATGTGTACAGATGACTTCTGAAGGTGAATTTGTACATTAAGAAAGTATATTTACACAAATGGTTAAAATACTAATGCAGTTCAAAATAGCATTTTTCATTTAAATGGTTCTGAAAATATTTTTAATCTTATTCTGAAATATTTTTTGATTTCGTTCCGCTGGATTGATTTCGTTAATAAAAATGTTGTCTCTCATTTAATATATCCTTTTGTTTAAACTGTATAATGTATAGTACTTTAAATAGCAATTCATGAATGTATCATATGAAGTATCAAACCACATCTTTAAAAAAAACTGTTCTCATGTACTAAGCCGTAGTGTGCGCTTCTATTGACCTACACTACTAATAAATCACAGCTATCACCGAACAGTTATAACTGCCTCGAAAGCGAATAATCGAAATTCCTGCTGCTGCACTTTCATCGTTGATGAGTCTCATTTTATAGAACTCTAGAAATAATTGTAATTATAATTATAAATAACTCACTACCCCGAATTATCATATCTTCAAAACAAAAATAGAAAATTTCAAATAAATTTTTATCGAATTAAAATAAACATGCACCGAATTAACTTCCCCTGTATCTGGTATAATTCCTAAAATGAGATCACTTGTAGATGAATACTGTTTTTTAAACAATCACATGATCGAATATAAACAAACACAGCAACAATTTAAGTAATGTCTATTTCGAAAATCTTGTATTATTTGAGTTGCTTGGAAACCAATGCGATTAAGTCCATTCTTTAATACTTCTTGATTTTTGTCAATTTTAACGGAACAAATAATATTCTCTTTACTTATTCAAAGATTTACTCGTTTCTTCGTTTTCTCTAGGTCAGACACCCCTTCTTTTTATAATTCCTGAATATGTCGTATAATAATTTCAGAAGCCACAACATTATGATAATTTCCTCAATTTTCATTTTCTACACATAACCGCGTTAACTTGCGAGCGACTCACGCATTAAGTACTATTAACACCTTGTTGACCGGTCACGAGTTAACTCGTGTTTGCACTTTGCATTAGCTATTTCAATTTTTGAAACGCAGGGCAATATAGAATATTGAAAAAACAAAATATACCAAGTTATATACAAGATATGCCGAAAGTTCCATTTCAATTCATTATTTATAAATAAAGTATGTTGAAGTTTATTTAGATTGTTTCACTTTCATACTTGATTACAGACATGACACGGAATGGCTTTTGTGTAAAATTTCCGGTCAACAATGTGTTAAGTAACAAGTAACGTATTCAAATATTATCACTAATGACTTTACTGTTAATGTGGCCACTTTAAAATAAATTCGAATACAAACACAAGATAGACAAGAGTCAACTTCTATTCAGTATACA